CCTGGGCTATATAGTGAGTTCCAGGTCAAGTCTCAACTACATAGTGAGACCCTGTCTCCAAAAAAGAAAAGGACTTGAGGGGACGTCTATAACAATGGAAATATAACTTAGCTTTGTCCAGTACTGCCTATCAGCACTTCACATTAGGGCACACTAACCAGAACTGTTCATAGTCCGAGATGGCACTCTACATGCTAAGATTTCCTGTCACAGCTCTCTCCCTGAGGGTGTGCTAGAATCCTTCCTCTACAGAAGCTTTGATTTTGGTGACTGGTGATTCTCAGTTCAGTCTGTCACCCTAATCCTATGTTCACTCACATCTTCTACTCAGTCCCCTTCCTTGACAAGCACACAATCCAGTGGGAGAAGCAGATGTGTCACTAGGTACAACCCATCACAGCCAGTGCAACAAAAGAAACAAGAATGCTGTGAGCACATACTAATTTGTCATTACCTAACTTGGTGTCTTCCAAATCAGTATCCCCCCTTCACATTTTTCCTGTAAGTCACTTGGTCTTATAACATTCCAGAATATCCTTGATCTCTGCTTCTACCAATATATTTAGACTTCATTTCTCCTATGATATTTTAGTCACATCCCACAAGAAACAGTACAATATATTGCCACAGTCACATCAGCCATATGCCTGAAGGAGACACATATTATATCATCCCCTTGTTTTGAAAATATCTACTATCTTTCAAATCCCCAAGGGAAGAAGTTATCCTTAACACACTAAATAACGTAATAAAACATACATCTAAAATATCATCTTTTAAAGGCAGAGAGACTGTCTGAATTCCAGTTCCACTGCTTACTAGCTATATTACCTTTGGCAGGTCATTTTAAATCCTTGTTTTCTCATTCACAAAACAAGGATACTAAAGAAACCTACCTTATAGTATCCTTATCAGGAATAAGTAAGACACTCCATTCCAAGTACCAGTACAGTTTATCCGGTAACTATTCTCTTAGGCTATCTCATCTACCTAGAATATATCACTTCCTAAGGGGAAGAGATAAACAGGTTTTGCTTTCATGTATTTTAGAATGATTAACAATATGAGTTAAATCAGAACATTCTTCTTGCTAACCCTGAACCAACAAAAACTTCAATTAACCAATATATTGCTTTCATAAAAATTTTGGTTTGTCTAAACTTTATCCAATTTACTTTAATCAGACAGTGGAATAATTTAATCCTAAAACATCATAATCAAAAGACAAAAGTTAAAATTAGTGATTGTAATAATATGAGAAACTACCAAGCCCTCAAATCTAAAATAATAAAAATAAGTAAAAGAGACCAGAAACGTTTTTCAAAAAAAATTATTTATGGAGCTAAATGTTAATGAAAAATGATGAAAAGATTTCATAAATGTACAGATGAAGGACAAAGAATAGAAAGGAAAAAAAAACTAGAAAAATATTGCATTTGCTCTTCTGTTATGGGCTGTGATGTTAAATAGTAAGTACTCTTGGCAAACAAACTTTTAAACCAAGTGTAGGTGGAGGCATGACTATAATTCCAGCACCATGGGAGCTTGAGGCAAGAAGATTCCAAGTTCAAACTCAGCCTGGGCAATTTAGCAACTAAAGAAGAACCTGTCTCAAACTAAAAAATTTAAAAATGGCTGAGGATGCAGCTCAAGGGAAAGGTCTTGGGTTCAAACCATAGTAATATAAACACTTTAAAAAACTGTTTTTTTAAAAAAAAATGTTGCCAGAACTGGTCAACAAAATGGCTGGAGGCAACAAAAAGCAACACCCTTCAAAAAAATCTGGCAGCATTTTGATAAAACCATCCTATCTTCTAACCTTGTAATCCCTCTCCTGGGTCTTGAGCCTAAAAGAGAGAAGAAAAATGATAAAGCAGTAGTAACTACACTACCATATAACTGCACTACTTGCTAAATGATAAGGAACCCAGGTTTCCAATTACTGAGAAATAAGTAACACCATTTAACATTGTGTAATGATTTAAAGGTATAAAAGCTATATCAAAAAGAAAACATATTAAAGATGAGAAGTAAGAAGAAACATTAAAGGGTTATATTTATTTTTTATTTGACCATTACTTTGTTTGGAGTTGATCGGGCCTATCACACTAAGTTTAAACCTTTCAAAACTGACTTTTTGAAGGCATGAAAGCACAATCATTTTTCCCTTAAAAATGTATCACATAGGAGTAATCAGATATGCTCTTCTCACATAAAGACAAGCCATACATGTAACTTTAGCCAGCTGTAACCTTATATTAAAATCTCATTTTACCATCAAAACCTAACTATCTACAGGATCTCCATATGGTGATCAGATGTCACTTGTTATGGGACATCTAGAGTGAGGCCCCTAAGCATAAAGTTAAAGCCATCTAGCCAAATGGAATGGTGAACTTTCAGTTTCTCCCATATTCCCAGATGAATTATCATGTTACAGTTACTCAAGGGCTCCAAGTCCCTAGGAGGGGCAGCTAAGGATTCAAGGAAAAAAGTGCAAGCAAGACTTACTCTCCCTGTGAAAAATTGGTGACTTCTTCACTATTGCCTACAGCACCATGAAGCAGCAAAAAAAAAAAAAAACTTCATGAGGTCAAAGGTATAAGGAATGACCCTAAGTAACTTCAGGCATATTACTTGCCTGTTCAAGTTTTAGTGTTTTAATGACAAAATTTTTAAAGTGGAAGCAGCCAGGCATGGTTGCTCACACTCAGGAGGAGTCTGAGGCAGAAAGCACCTCTGAGTTAAAGGCCAGCCTAGGGTACATAGTGAGTTCATGGACAGCCTGAACTATATAGTGATACCCTGAGGGAGGGAAGGCGGGAGAGAAGGAGGAAGGAAGAAAGGTTGGTTAATGCTTTCAAGTTCAATGTACATTTTCCAATACACACACAAGTCTGTCACAACTCCCACTCAGAGGATGAAACGATTATTAAAATATAAAATCAGGAGACTAGGGGCAAAGGTGAAACACAAAGATGATCAAAAGACGTGGCTTGTGATCTCAGTTCTATCCCTTTGCCCACATGACCTTGGGAAAATTACTGTACTTCAAAATAAAATCCAAGGACCAAGGCAGTAAGCCTCACTAGCCATGCCCTTCTTTTCCTGCATCACAAAATGGTTTGATTTTTTCTATCATAATTTTTCTATCTTTAACCAACAATTTACTTCAATCTTGAGATATTTATAAATGTCCTGCACATTCACCTTTTCTGTTTTGATGCCAAAAAAAAAAAAAAAAGAAAAGAAGGAAATAAAGAAAGAAAGAAAGGAAGGAAGACAGAAAGAAAGAAAGAAAGAGCAGTCTAACATATTCTGTCTATCTTAAAGCTATATTCAAGCCTGGGACAATTCCTCAAAAATGTATTCAGTAAATAGTTTTTGTGCACCTATGCAATATGACAGTAGGTGCTAGAGTTGTGAACTCCAGATGAAACTGAAAAGCCTTGCAAAGTCGGACATATAAACTAATCATTAACTACCAATTGGCAAAATGCTCACTGCAGAAGGCACACTACACTATCCCCTGGGTTGGTGAAAACACAGGGATGAGATGTCTGGACAAGACTCAGAGAAGACAGTGTGGTAAGATCATGAAAAGCAACTTGTTTACTAGGAAGAGAAGATTTCTCAACAGAGAACAGTATAAAACCACAAAGGAAGACATCATCATCCCATCATCGGAGACCTACACGAAGCCCTGTATAAATAAGGGTAGGCATAATGGTAGGAAACAAATCTAGAAAACAGACGAGTACCAGAAATGGTGAGTTTTGAATTTTCTCCACATAAACTATGACAAGTCATTGAAAGACTCTGAACATGAATCAAAGTCCTCTTCTTCCTCCACATAGTAAAAGGAATTGAGTGAAGGTAACAGTACTTTTCTACCTGTGGAAAAGTAGGACTAAGAAAAACTATTTTTAATGGAGAGTTTCTGTTTTCAGGATGGCATCTTAACACATTTTAGTAATATATTATGAATTATGGCTAATGGGTTGAAGAAAGTATTTCAACCTAAAGATTTTATGGGGTCAGGGCTGGGGATTTAGCTCAGTGGTTCTGCTGCCTGCCTCTTATGACGTCAATGTTGTTGAAAACACTAAAAAAAAAAAAAAATCAAGTAGGAAAACAGCGAAGCACTTTGATACATCAAGAGAAGAGACAGTAATAAAGTCCAAAAAGAGTGACTTCTGGTAAAACCCTAAATGATGTTTACATCCCTATTATATATTTATTACAGACTATAAAACATTATTTATACCTAGCTTTTACTGGAGAATGCCTTACATTTGGTTAAAGTCTCTTTAAATTCGTCTAAAAGATGATATTTTAAAGATAATTAGACAATTAAGTAGGTTTATCAATATTTTTCTTATGAGGAAAGGAAGGCCTCTCCCAACGAATACTTTCAAACACCTAAAAAGCTCAAGTTTCTTCTCCAGCTTTTAGGGGAACACCACAGTCCAATGTGGGACCCCAAAGAGTCCCTGCATCAGTAATTTCCACGCAGCTAAGGCCTAGTCTAGGAACAGCAAGCCTAATTGGCTGGGTGGCCCACAAAGATGAATTTGCAATTATTGAAATTTGAACTCAAGCTTAGTCACCCAGGACCATCTCAGAGGAGTCATGCTTCCTTTTACTTTGTCAAGAAAGTAGGTGCATTTTTAAAAATGTATAAAAATCGGGAGGGGGAAGGGAGGGAGAGAAGGAGATGAAAAGAGAATTGGGTTATGCACATGCACCAACTCCACACGAAGAATGTACTGCAATAATGCACTAGTAATAATAAAGAATTTAAATGTATAAAAACATGTCTAGAAAGAAGAGAGGAAGCATCTGAATCTACAGCAAAGGTATGATCCACAGAAGTTTCCTCTCGGGGTGTGTTTTAGGGTGTGTCTTTGTTTTGACTCGATGACTTAAAACACCCCACTCCTTCCGGGCACCCAGGAAGGACTCTCCCCATCCACCCGCCCTGGCGCCCCAGCTCGCACCTCCGACGCTGGGCAGCTCAGCCTCGCCACTATTTCCCCGCAGAGGAGGCGTCAGCCCCGGCCGAGGCCCCCAGCGGACCGGGACA